GACGGTTTGGTTTCAAGAATCCTTAATTCTGAGTTCTTTCCATGGCAGAATCAGAGGCATGGAGGTTGCTTCCACATCCTCTAGCACCCTGGTCACCACCCTATGGGAGAGGGTATAAGCTGCTTCCAGCCATCTCAAGACCAGCAGAATAGGGAGGGCCCTGGGCCATGTCACCCTTGGGTTAGTTCCACAGGGAGGGGGCACCACAGGGCCTGAAGGAGCTGCTTTCAACCAGAGCACACCCTCTCCTGGTGACCCAGGTTGGCAGCTCCAGGGCCGCAGGCTTCCCTTATGTGGGGAGTGCACTGCAGGGCCCACTGTCTTGGTCCAGGCCCATTTTACTGGCAGTCTCCTTGAGCTGATCAGCCCAGAAGCCCCATTTACGCGGGATTTTCTTCCTGCCACCAGGGGGCTCCACTAAGCCAGTGTCAAGTTGCCAGAGACCTGGGCCAGGCTTGAGGGCACTTAACCTCAGGTGTAGGGTCCTTGGCCTCATAGTCATGCAAATTGGGGATCCAGGTGCAGCTGACTGCTCCGAGGGGGAAACAGAACGAGGTCGTCCTGTGGCATAGGGTGCAAGATCACCCCGAGAAGTCCCTAGGCCCCCAAAGTACTTTGGCACACACACTGTGCTGGCAAAGACCTCTCCTGGCTCTCCACTTTAGAACAGGGTCCTCCCTTCAGAACTCAAGTGCTCCAGCAGGGTGGTTGTCAGGGAGTGAGGTGAACTTAAGAATTTGTGTGTACATTTGAGGAGGGGGCTGGTGGTGTCAACAGCGTGAGGATGTTTTCATGAGCTTCATAAGTGGGCACACACACATACACACGCCACATTCACTCCATGTGTAGCAACTCTTTACCCAGCACAGGCAGAGATTGGTAAGATATTTGTTTCAAACTCTATTTACAGTACATGCTGGCAAACATAATACACACACGCCCATGTGGGCGTCTAGACCAGATTGTATATGCTAAGGCATAATTGCGACATGTTAGGCGCTCTCAAATACTTTCTGCCTTCACTTATAGAATTCCTTAAATCAGCTCCTCTAGGGAAAAAGCAAAGTGCAAAAGCAGGAGAGGAGAGCAAGGAAGAAGGAGGAGGAGGAGGAAGTAAAATCAGCTCCCCTTTCTCACCTCCTTACTGGAAACTCCCCCCACCCCATTTCCTCTTTTCATCCTCCCTCCTTGGTCACACTCTGCCCACAGCCTTAGGTGCCTCTGCCCAGCAATGCTGTCTTTCTAAGACCTCTTCTGCTACAGGGAGGTCCTGGCAGTTGTGGATCAGGGAGCCTCTCGCTAGCAGCCCAAGCTTTGCATGCCTCCTCTGTGATTGTTCAACGGTAGCTGAGGAACACACCACGCGCATCACACGCAACACACTGTCCATCCCAGGAAGCATTCTGTAAGTGCTAGCTATGTGATGATGACAATGTTCAAAATATATGATCCCTTCCCGAGAGAATGACAGCCACGCACTACCCCACCCCCTACCTTATCACTAATACAGACTTGACACCATGAGCCCATGTTTGCAGCCCGCACAGCCACCACAACCGCCACAGGACCATGTTCACAACACAGAAAGCATGGAGCAGCCGCGGCAGCACACCTTCTACACTGCAACTCTCCTGAGCCAGACAGTGGAGCAGCAGTGGTCAGGAA